CATTCATTATATATCCAAAAAGTAATTGAAGTTTTGAAGCTAAACCTTGATAAGCTTCATTATATTGAGGCGAATTAATCTAAGGCTTTTGGATCTGGTGATCAAAGTGAGTGAGCACACAGTAAAAGCTGATAATCATCTTTGAATTATTAAGATTCTAATGTTTATTTGTCAACCGCTAAGCGAGAAGGTGATTCAGAAAAAATAACTTGAGAATGTGCGATTGAAGTATCTAACAGTATACAATAATCCTAACGAGGTTAATCGGTAGAATGGAGACTCAGCAAGACTACCAATAGCACAATACCTTCGAGATTAGCTGTGGCGATTTGGCTCTGCTCGTAACAACAGCACCCAGCCCCATCCTGTCGTTTGGCGCTACGATCCCGTTTGAAGAATGAATAGGGCGATGCTCAGTCAGTCCAGTAGAAATTGGCGGGCTTGCTGCCTGTATGGCTGCTGTCGCCGATATTCCAAATAAAGGAGGTTTCCCCACCATAACTGTAGAAGTAGTCGGCACAGAGACCTTAAACTTCTTACTTGTTCGATTCAGCGTTGCAGTGCTGCCAGGAGGCAAGGGGGCACCAATTTGAGGGGAAGATGGTTCTTCAACAACTTTAAACTCAGTGGGTATAGATTCGGATTTAAGTGGAGGAATGGAGGGCGAGGGTATAGGAGAAGGCAAAGATGAAGAAGACGATATAGAAGTCGTTGCTTTCAACCGAGCAGGATTTGGTTCTGACGCCAAGGTTGAACTGGCGGCTGTAGTCGTAGTGCCAGAAGTACTGCTTGTCGACCCACCAGAGGTTGCTGTCGCAGACGAAACTCGAATCATCATAGGTGGATCAGGGCTCTTTGAAATATGTTGAGGCTGTTTCTTCTTATTGGCCGCCAGGGGAGGCGACACGGATGGAGCGGACGGTGGCCTTGCAGTCGCAGTAGAGGTTGTGTGGTGTTGTTTTAATGTTGGAACTTGATTAATCTTTTGTCCAGAATTCAAGGCAGCATTAGAACTTTCTACTTTTGCCTCTGTTGAGACGGTAGAACCTAACATGGAAGCCTCTTGAGATGGGTTAGGCTTGAGGCTGGTAGAGGAAGTAGTGCGTCGCGTGATATTCAGATGGCTATGAAGGCAAAATATTTTGA